GGGCACCCGTCCGAGCCAGGGTGCAGGACCCTACCTCTCCCCGGGGGGAGGGGGGGCCTATGAGCACTCACACACGTTCTCTCAGGGCCTTGCACAGTTTTGGGAGATGGACAAATCACAAGGGCTGATTTTACAAACAAGGAAACCGAGGCTCAAAACAGGCCAGAGACTTGGGGAAAGTTGCACCGTTAAGAAGTGCAGCTGGTTTTGAAGCCGGGCCCACCTGCGAGCCCGTCTCATGCCCCTGACCCTTCCTGTCCCCAGGGACGGTTCATATGGGACTGAAGGCCAGGAAGGGTAGTCAGCTTCCCCAGGATCTTGAGCAGGGGGCCGGGGGGGGGGGTGGGCAGAGCTGAGGGGGGCCAGGGAGAAGGCCACCGGTGCCCTGGCACTCAGCACCGTGGAGCCGGCCCTGGCGGGGCCCTGGCATAGGGAGCGGGGCGGACAGAACTTGGCCTGGGAACTGCGCTGTCCCACTCGGCCATTTGTTTCTTGGCCCGTGTCCTGGGCACCTGCCCTTAAGGAGCTGAGTGGCCTGCGGGGGGAGGCTGGCATGGGGTAGGTGGGAGTCACAGCGGAGGGGAGTGTGGAGTTCAAGGGTCACGGGAACAGAGAAGAGGGGCTGGGGGAGTGGGGCGAGGGGGGAGGCGTTGGGTTCTCGCCAGTGGGTGAGGCACAGAGGAGCTCTGCAGGCAGAGGGCCCTGGGTGCCCAGAGGCGGGAGACGGGAAGGGCCGGGCCCTGGGCCGGGTTCTGTCCCGCCTGTCTGCCATCTGCCTCGAGTGAGGACAGTCTGAGGCCCGAGTTGGCCCCTTCCCCCAAGAGAGCAGGAGCAGACAGGCCACGCAGGGGCCCACCACTCTCCTCACCCAGCCCCTCTCCCAGGTCCACCACATCAACGCCAACCACTTCTTGGATATCACCTCCATGAAGCCCGAGGATGTTGAGAACAACGTCTTCAGCTTCTCGTCCACCTTCGAAGACCCGTCCACGGCCACCTACATGCAGTTCCTGAAGGAGGGCCTTCGGCGTGGCCTGCCCCTCCTCCAAGACTAGTGTCCCATCCCTGAGAGGCTAGGCTCGAGGTGGGGGGCTGGAGGAAGGGCCCCCAGTGCCGAGCACCGACCCCTCAGGTGCAGAGCCAGCAGTCCTCATACCCCTGCCACTCCCAGGCTGCCTGTGGGATCTGAGGGCAATGAAGGGTAGCCCCCTACTTTGCCTTGGTGATGGGAGGACTGCCCACATGGTTCTGGAAGCTGCTCAGGACACCAGAAATGGGGCCTTGGGTCATCTCCCGGGACCTCACTCACTCAGGCACATAGTTCAGGTACCTGTGGGGTGAAGATCAGTGGGGAGTGGTGCTAGGAAGACAGGGCCACCTCTCTCTCCTTACATTTACCCCCTCCCAAAAGAAACATCAAGAAACCCTGGACTAGGGGCTAAGGAGGGGTTGCCAGGGAAGCACTCTTGTTCAGAGCCTTCTTCCTGGCTGCCCTCTTCTGCCTGTTGTCCCCAGTGGGGTCAGCTTCAGCTGGAGACCGCCTTCTGGAGGCTCAGGGCAAAACCCTCCTTCAGGAGAGTTCCCTGTACCTAGGAACTCCCCAGACCACTCAATCCAGCCTAACAGTAGGACCCAGTACCTGTTTCGGGACTTGCTGGAGGCCAGCTGCCTGGAGAGGTTCACTGTGAAGTAGGCTTCTGCTCTTAGCAAGAGAGTTCACCGAGGGGTTCCTGAGGCCCAGGGCCAAGGCACCCCCACCACCTACCCCACCAAGGGTCACAGGACTAGTAGAGCCAGCCTCCTGCCCCTCAGACCCACAGAAGTGTAGCTCAGCCAAAGAACATAGCCTCCCCCAGAGCCAGTGGCAGGTCAGGGCAGCCCAGACCAGCTTGCCCATCCCCCGAGTGGCTCTTGGACCTCCTTGGCCTCCCTTAAGGCCTTGATCTACGTCCTCAGCCCTGACCACAGCCACAGCCAGTCTTTTTTTTTATACATGCAGAACAGTGTTTTTATGTGAAGTTTCTCACAGTTTGTAGGTATTTTTGATAACCCTGACACTGAGGAGAAAGAAGGGGGCAGTGTCTTCCCGCAGCAGCAGCCCTATGATGGCTGGATCTGAAATCCTAGATGGGTCCAGCTTGATGTCTTTGCAGCTGCACCTACGGGAAGAAATATTCCTCTCTTTTCTTCCAGCTTTTTAAAAAAGGTCAGTGTACCCCCAACCCTATCCTTGTCTTCCACTCAGCCCCATGAGAGATCCTTGGGCCTTCACGAAAGTCTTGGAGCCAAGCCTGCTCCCCAAGGCCTGCCCCACAGGGGCTCTCTCTTAAACCTGGGAGGGGAAGGCAGACCTTTCCTCAGACACACTCCCAGGCCTCCCACCCTGAGTTCTCCTGCCTGCCACTGAAGTATCCATACTGAGCCTTTTCTATCTGGGGCACTCTGTTAACATTACTTGTATTTTCTCATTTAATCCTCACAACAAACCTGTGAGGCAGATATTAATTGTTCCCATTTTGCGGATGAAGAAACTGAGTCTCAGGGAAGTGAAGGGACGTGCCCAAGGTCACTAAGTGGCAGAGTTGATTTTGGAGTGTTTTGGTTTGCACTGCACCCCCAGCTCCCTCCCCTGCCCATTTTAACTGAGGTGAAAAAAGAAAGCCTTTCAGACCAAAATGCCTCACTCCCCTCTGATCTCTAGACCAAATGAGGCTGGAGCCAGCAAGCTCAGCCAAGTTCGTGTCCTTCTGGGAGGCTGTGCTTCCACTCCCCTTACTGGAGGGAGGGCACCTAGGTCTGTCTCTGCGCTTCCAGGCATGGGTGGCCACAGCCAGTCCCATGAGCCACACAGAGGCAGCAGACACTCTGCTTCGATGCCCAGCAGGCTCTTCCCCTTGTGCAGGGCGCTCTTCCCCTCGTGCAGGTCCAGGAGGGCCCGCCCCACAGTGAGCAATCCTTGTCCCTTGTAAGGCTTTGCTTTGGCTTTCTCAACTCATACCTTTTCCTGTCCCCCACTGTGCCTTGAAGCTCATGGTGGGGGAGGGCCTCCAGCCCCCTCCTGCTACCCATCTGTACTCCCCTCACCTCCCCACTCGTCCTATAATAAAATTGGAGAGACTAGGATGGTTCTCAGTGCCTTTCCTTTGAGCGGGTTATGGGTCAGTTCTATCCTTGGTCTGACTCCTCTGTGGAATTGGCTCGGCACATGGGCAAGGGAGCATGGCTGGAAAGTCTTGGGGACTATCTTTTGTCACTAGAGGGCTTGAGTGACATTCTTTTTTTTTTTTTTTTTAAGATTTTATTTATTTATTCATGAGAGACACAGGCAGAGGGAGAAGCAGGCTCCATGCAGGGAGCCTGGTGTGGGACTTGACCTCAGATCCCAGGATCACACCCTGAGCTGAAGGCAGATGCTCAACTACTGAGCCACCCAGGTGTCCCTTAAGTGGCATTCTTAAAGTAACTTTGTGATAGACCTAGTAGTAGAACTTACTACTGTTTTTAGAATGGTGAGAAAGATTCTGAAGTTCATTACCCATTGTCTTAGAGGCAGAGCCTAAGACAAGCATTAGGGATTTTTTTTTTTTTTTTTTTTTTTGGAGGGAATACACTTCAGGGAAAACCTGTATAAGAAGGAGTGAAGGGCTGGGATCCCTGGGTGGCGCAGCGGTTTGGCGCTTGCCTTTGGCCCAGGGCACGATCCTGGAGACCCGGGATCAAATCCCATGTCGGGCTCCCGGTGCACGGAGCCTGCTTCTCCCTCTGCCTGTGTCTCTGCCTCTCTCTCTCTCTCTCTCTCTGTGACTATCATAAAATAAAAATAAAATTAAAAAAAAAAAGAAGGAGTGAAGAAGGGATGCCTAGCTGGCACAGGTGGAGGAGCATGTGGCTTGATCGCAGGGTTGTGAGTTCAAGCCCCATGTTGGGTGTAAAGATTACTTAAAAAAAAATAATCTTTTTTTTTTTTTTAAAAGCCTTTAAAATTAAAAAAAAAAAAAAGGTGACGAAGAATGGGGAAAGGAAAGATGCTAAGCAGGGATAGGATCTGGGTGGACAACTCTGAGGTCTCTGGCCAGGACAGCTATGTAACTTGCAGGATCCAGTGCAAAATGAAAACTGCAGTGCCCCTTGTTTTATATTTATACACATATATACATATATGTAAAATAATAATATAAATTATACAGTTTCAAGAGGGCAACAGTAGAGCATTCAAGCAAGAGGCCCTGTGTGACTGCCCACACCTGTCCCCCGTGAAGCCAGCCTGTCCCTGGCCGCCAGGACTTGCAGGCTTTGAGACAGAGGAACCGCAGCCTGGGAGCAGGCACAGCTGTTTGCTGAGGTCAGAGGAGGGCACGTGACCCAGGCCTGGATGCCCTGGAGACCAGGACGAGGACCGGGGCCCTGAGGGTTTAAGCAAGAAGAGGGAGCGGGTGAGGGGCGTCCGGAAGGAAAGCGGGTCCCTTTCCCAATGCCCCTGCGGTCTTGCCTGCCAGCCTATCTCACCGCACCTGCCCTGTGCGTGTGGGATACGCAGAAGACAGCTACAAAGGTAGGAGTCCGAGGAGAAAGGTGGACAGGAGGCTGTGGAGGGTCTTGGCTGGGAAGCATGAAGCGTGAGAAGCGGAGCGGGGCGAGATGAGGCAAGGCCGGGGGTCGGTCCGGGGGCCTGGAAGGCCGGGGGGGGCCGTTCTCAAGCGGACAGCAGACGCCACACCATTTGGGGCGCGGGCGGCGTGGTCAAACGTCGGCCGCTAGAGGTGGGATCAGGACTACCCAAGGAGAGCGGCGACGAGGCGCAGACCCGCGGCGATGCGCCCCAGACGGCCGCGGGATCTCCAGGCGCCGCCGCGGGATCCCCAGGCGCGGTCAACTTTTCCCAGAGGCCGGGCCAGCGCGGGCGGGCGTGGCCGCGGTGGGCGTGGCCCCTCCTCGGGTCCGCCCGTGAGGCCGCCCCGCCCCGCCCGAGGCCGCCTCCCGAGGGCGCGCGGGGCCACTGCCCTGTGCGCAGCCGCCAAGGATCGCTTCCGGGGGCGGGTCAGCGGAAGTGAGGGCGGTTGAGGCTGGGCTGCCCGCTGCGGTAGGAGGGGCCGTGAGGTGAGTCCCGGAGCCGGAGTCTGAGGTGAGACTAGGTCCGAGTGCCGCTTCGGAGGCGGGAGTGCGGTCTGCCCGCCGACTGTGGACGCGGCCTAGCGCAAGGCGCTGTGCGGAGCTCGCGGCTCCTCTTCCCGCGCCAGTTCTCGCGGGAGCCGGTGTTGTCCGCCTCGCTTGGCTGAGGGTGGGAGGACTCGGTGCCCGGGGGTAGCTGCTCGCCGGAGTTCCCGGCCTCGGTGGCCGCGCGACAGCGGAGGCTCCTCGTTGCCGCTGCACTCCGCGGCCCGCCGGGCCACTTCGGCCGCCTCGCTCCTTCTGGGGCCAGCGCCCGGGCCTGCGGGTCCGAGGGCCGCCGGTGCCGGCGGCGAGGACTTGGCCGACCTTGGCCCGGTGGGGTCGGGCCGTTCCGGGGGAGGGGAGGCGTGTCCCGGACAAGGTCCCCGCAGCGGCTCCCCCAGTGCGGCCGCTTGCGGCCCACGCAGGCTGTCGCTCGCCAAGTTCCCCCGAGCGCCGCGGCCTCGACGGGGCGCCTGGCCCCGGAGGGATGAGCGCAGGCCCTGCTCTGGAGGAGCCCCGAGTCCTGCGGAAGAGCGTGTGTGCACAGGCCATGACGGCGGTCTGGAAAGGGGCGTCGTGGGAGCGCAGCGCTGATGAGAACCAGCCTGCATTACCAGCGGACTGGGGGAAGTCTTCTAGCCCAGGACCCCTGGGGCGGGGAGGGGGGTGAAGGCCCAACCGGAGTTCTCGTTGGTTCGCGCTCCGGGGACCAGGCAAGCGCTGTGCTGCGCCTTGGGAAGCCTTTGCCCTGCGACAGGCAGCAGATACGGGGTTCTGATCACTATTGTGAGGGCTCGGAAGGAAACGTGGGGCGCTGGGGGAGAGGGGGCGGTAAGGACCTCCTGTCGGAATGAGCAGAGGTGATGAGCTCGTGAAGAAGGTGCTGGTGTTTCAGGCCGAGAGGATAGTGTGGATGGGGGCGGAGAGGCGGTCCGCTCGGCTGAAGGGCTGAAGGGCACGGGGAGCCGGGAGGTGCGCTGTCCGGCGGTGCGGGGGGCCTTGGAGTTTGGTCTAGTGAGGTGGGGCTGATTGTGGAGAGCCCTGCAGGCCATTCCGGGTCTAGATGGTACTCTGTGGGCTGCAGCGAGCCGTGGGGGTGTTAAACACAGGAGCAGTGTGTCCTAGAAAGACGGCTCTGGCTGTTGTTAGGCCTAAATGAGTCTTTGGGGGGAAGTCTGGAGAGGAAGTGGCTGTAGTGTCCAGAGTGAGAAACAGAAGTTCTGTGGAGCTTGTGGCGGCACCGACATTCGGCCCAGAGCCTGGCACGCAGAGGAACTTCGATAAAAGCCTTGAACTGCAGGGAGTTGAGCCCACGCAGACGGCAGCACAATTTAAACCAGACTTGAAGTGCTTTCTACTAGCATGACCACTAGTGACCTTAGACACTTCCTCTCTCCAGCTTCTTTTCCTTTGTATCGGGAAGTGAGTGATAACTCCTCTCCCTCAGGTGAGAGAGAAATCCTGCAGGAGTTTTCAGTCCGTCCCGTTCAGAACCTGCCCTTGGCTCCCCAGTGACTTCTCCCCTGAGCATTCCCAGCCCTTATGACTTGAACCTCAGTTTACCTTTCTCTCTTCCTCTTTACACCCCTCTCATTTCCTGGGACCTGTGCTATTGTTGCTGTTTTCCAGCCTTTCCTACCCCCTTTAAACTCGCCATGAGGCCTTGGGGTCAGGGGCCTGTACCCTCCTGGCCACCTGCTTAGGTGTACCTTTCTTAAGCAATGATATTCAGTCTTTACTAGAATTATGTATTCAAGTTCTATTTATCTTCCATATTGTGAGTTCCTTGAGAGCATCCTTCCATAGCCCCTGCAGTACCCAGCTCAGGGCCTGGCACAGAGTAGGTATTGTTACATTTGATGAACAAGAGAATGAGTTCATTGATTGCATCTGCTCACCAGACAAGAGCAGCTGTGAAGAATCCAATCAGGAGTTCATTAAGCACTTTAAAATCCCCTATTTCACTGAATGATCCTTAAGGTAATCTAGGAAGGGAGCTCTTGTCTTCTTTTTACATATGGAAAAACCAACATTCAGAAAAGTTATGGGACTTGCCTAAGGCTATAAGAGCAGTAGACGGCTAAGCAGGATAAAATTTTTTGACTTTTCCCTGTAGCCCAGTAGAGTGAGACTGACAAGAACTGGCTGTTTATTCTCCTATTGTCTACTTTACATTTCCCCTTTGCCAGGACCCAGTAGTGCTAGGCTGGGTGGCATATGCTGGGCTTTCACACCCCATCTTCAACAATGAATGCTAGATTCGAATGGTACCAACAATTTGGCTTTTAGACTACCAAGAGAGTTCTATTTACATCTCTACAAGTAATGCCTCAGGAAACCTAAGGAATCAGGAAGCTCCCATAGTTTGCCAAGCTCAGGCCACAGGTCTGGAACAGAACCTTCAAGGGTCTGAATTTGGAGCCATTGCTGGGTGAGGACAGCCTCTTGGGCTGTTTTTCTCCTCTGTGAAACATCAAAGAAAACTTGGTGTTAGTCATGGCTCTGCAGGACCTGGTTTTTGTGGCACTTGAGTGGTGGCCATTGAGTCTCCACTGTGGGGGTTGTTTCACAGGAAAAGAAATCTGGTGTTCCTTAAGATGGCCTGATATGAAGGAGTCACGCCTCCAGCCTCCCCAAGCCCCCGGAGCTGCCCTGTGGCTGCCTTGTCCTTCAAGTGCAGGAGCCGGTTGAAATGTCAGGAATGGAAGCCAGTGTGGTAAGGGCACAGGCTGTGGTGGGGGAAGGGTTGAGTACTGGGCCTGCTGAAGTTCTGTAGGACATTCTGAGACTCTCCAGTTAATTATTCCTTTCCCCTGGGATGACCCTTCCACATAATCCCCACCACTCGCTCCCCAACAGGCAAAACCACCTATAGTCTTGGGGGCAGTCATTGTGTTTCTGCTTTTCTGGGCAGAGGGAAGGGTGGGAAACTTGTATGATTCCTATACTTCACTAATTCCTCATGCTTTTACTGGATCCTCCCAACATTTACCATGCGTTGGCAGCAGCAGATGTCCCCATAAGTGGTTGGCAACTGGGGAACCTGCCCTCACTCACACTGAGACTGGACCCCCACACCATACCCTGTCCCTGGGATTGGGGACTTCAGTTTCCCTGCTAAAGGGATCGAGGGGAGCATGGAATAGTAGTTGGACTCATCTCTGAGACTCCTTGTTTCTCTCCTTTTAGACCATCCCAATCTGGCAAAACAAGCCACATGGGGCTGCTCGCAGTGTAGTGAGAAGAATTGGGACTAATCTGCCCCTGAAGCCATGTCCCCGGGCATCCTTTGAGGTAAGTATACTGGAAGGGTAGGGTGTAGAGGCTCAGAGGCTATGTGAATATGGTGCTGCATCTGTGCCCAGACTACCTGGTGTTGCTGAGGCTCATTGCTTTCCTGATCACTTTTTCATTTTGTCAGGAAACATATATTACGTGCATATTGTGGATCTGGTCATTGTGCCTTCCTGATTGAACACAAAACTATGACCACAACAGTCAGACTTTAATCTGTTCATAAATGAGTAAGGTTGCATCTTTGATGCCACTTCTAAGTCATCAGACTCCTGCAAGTCAGTTTATCAGAGTAGGCCAAAGGCTCTTGCTGAGCCAGATTCCCAGAGTAGCTGTGTCTGTGCCCTGAGGTCTTTGCCTGCAACCCTGGCAGGTCTCCATGTGGGACATTGAGTCCTGTGTGACTCTGAGTTGAACTCTACTTTTCTTACCACCCCTAAGACTGGATCACTTGGCAGCCTATTTTTATGTTTCCCTGAGGCCATTACTTCGATCCTTTTCTTTCTGGCCAAGTCTAGCCACTCCTTTACTAGACTTCTTAAGGCTTACCTTTGTGTCTAGGGGCCTTTAGCACCCACTCCGCTGCAGATTCTTGCCTGGCGAATGTCTATCAGAATCCGGCCCCATTCTTCTGCAGTAGAAAGCTAAGTAGCATTTATTAGCCCCAGCTACCTCCCTCTGAGAACTAATGGTTAAGAACCAGCTCTAGGCTAGATGTTTAAGGTATGTATGTTTGGGAACTGGGACACAAGTACTTCAGCTTTCTGCCTACACAGTGGAAACAAATATATGCCTGAAAAGACATGGACCCAGGTAGAAACAGAAATGAAGTATCAAATGCTTAGTTGTGAAGTTGTAGGAATTCATTCTGGAGTCAAAAGTGGTATCAGAGTTGGTATTAGAGTCAGGGATGGAGTTGGAAGTGTTGTAGTGTGGGGTGGCTGTCCTGTGACCTAGATTGCCAGTTATGCATAATTGCCTAAAGGGCATGGGCAAGATGTGGTCCTAGCCATCTCAAACATCAAAAAAAGAGGGAAGCACAGCTAGGGAGTGTGAGAGACTCAATGGATGTTGTCCCCACACTTGGCCTCTTCAGTCCTTTGACCAGATGCTGCTGGGCAGGGACTGATCAAGAGCACAGAGCAGGAGTATGCAGGAGTACTATTAGTAATACTAGCTAACTTTACTGAGCACATGCTGTGTGTCAGGCACTGTGCTAAATACTTTATATGTGTTCATTTATTTAATTGTCCATAGTGGAGCAGCACTCTGGAAAGGAAAACAAATGGAAGCTTCCCCAAAATGGCCATTTTAGCAATAACTTCTGGGTCAGTAGAAGTCCTTTCTTACGTAACCTTGGACCATCACATTGCTCCTGTGAGACCCAGGTTCTCTATCTGAAAGCGAGAGCTCTCAACTCCTGGTCGATTTAACTCATGTATAGATGGGTTTTTGAGAATTTGTCCCTGGATTTCTGTTGTAAATTAATTCCCTTAATAAAGAGAATCTTGATGACTTAAATTTACCCATACAAAAATATTTAAAAATAAGTTATGAAAAGTGAAAAAGAAAGGAAAATGCATATAATCACAGTCATGACACAAAATAATGTTTTGGTTTAGTTTTTTGTTTTTTTACTTTCTTATAATCATAGCATGATTGAATCCTCCTAATCTTTCATTTAACATAAAGTCACTCAGCCTTGTCTGTTCCCTGGTTATTGTTCATCTGGGTTGAGGAGCTATTTTAAGGAATCCTCTTCTTTTGATATCATTTCTTTTTATTTAAATTCAAATATTCGTATTACCAAGTTCACTTAAAACAGTGTTGCTATAGCAGTGTAGATCCCAATTAGCTATGGAGGTGTTGTAAAGAACTGGCCAAGAGAAACTTCTTATTAATGTCCTTATACCTGTATTCTCATAGCTGGAGAGAGCAAGATGCGCTTAGTGGCCATCTCTGTTGAAAGGTAACTCTCTCCAATCCCACTGAAGACTCCTTTGCTCCAGCCAGGAGTTAGTAAATGTTAGTAAGAAGCCCAATAGTAAATATTTTAGTGTGGGGGTCATAACTACTCTTTTAATTACTCACTTCTGCAGTTGCAGCTTAAAAAATACCACAGATGATACATAAATGATTGGTGTGACTATCTGATAAAACTTGACATATAAAAATAGGTCCCAACCCTGCTCTAGGCCACCATGTTTTGCATGAAGGATATTAACAGCCTTACAACTGGTCTCTTCACTCTCTCATGCATGTTCCACACAGCAGCCAGAGTAATCTTTCAAAATCTGAGTCTTACTTAAAATCTTCTAGTGGCTCATTATTGGTCTTAGAATCAAGGTTTTTAACAAATCACCCTTGACACCCAGCTCCGTCCAGATGTGAACTATTTGTAATCCCACAAACTCTTTCCTTTTTCCATCCAAGAACTGTCTTCTCCCCTCTCTAGGAAGCCTTTCTGATTGATACCCAGGGCTGGATTAGGTGCCCCTCCCATGATGTCAAGAATGTTTTTTGATGAATTTTGCTTCCCTGTAGACCCTGCCCAACATCTCTGATCTGTGTCTGAGGGATGTACCCCCAGTCCCTACTCTGGCTGACATCGCCTGGATTGCTGCAGATGAAGAGGAGACATATGCCCGGGTCAGGTAGCTGAGGCAGTAGCTGGTCTGCTGGGGACTGGGGGGAGCTTCTTCCAGATGAGGTGGCAGGCAACAGGGAGAGTGCTTATGAGGGGCTGCAAGGGCAACAGGAACAAAAGCTGTGGACTCTTCAGTGGGAACAGAACCTGGCTATGTTACTCCTGTACAAATGGGGAAGGAATTTTAGAAGGGATGCAGTGGCTGGCTCCCTCTGACATGCTTGTCTTTTTTCTGGTCCAGGAGTGACACCCGGCCCCTGAGGCATACCTGGAAGCCCAGCCCTCTGATTGTCATGCAGCGTAATGCCTCAGTGCCCAACCTCCGAGGGTCCGAGGAGAGGCTTCTGGCCTTAAAGAAGCCAGCCCTACCAGCCCTAAGCCGTACCACGGAGCTGCAAGATGAGCTGAGCCACTTACGTAGCCAGATTGCTAAAATAGTGGCAGCTGATGCAGGTAGGAGCCCCTAAATCAGGGCCAGAATTCAGCATACTCTTCCTTTCCCCCTGGCTTTTGGTACAGGATAAGGGTAGGGAAATCAAGGACCGTGGTTCAGGGGGGACACAGGCCCAGGGCTCAGGCTATTCTGAGGACTGGCTAACCTGTAATACTCCTTGGATGGTTTCCATCAGCCATTCTGGGTTGACTGGATTGATTAGGAACAAAATCTTCGCTCAACCTGTGACACCCCACCCCCCACCCCCACAGATTACCTCCCTTGGCCACAAAAACCAATACCCTCTTCAATTGGTCTTTAAGATCACATCTTCCATGAGCCCTCAAGCAACTTCCCTTTTCAGTGAGAAATAAGCATTCCCCACCATTAAGAGCTTTAAGCTTTCTTCTTATCTCCCTATCTTCCCTTTTCTTGTTCTCCCAGAGACCACCTCTCCATCCTTCCACCTGTCTGTCTGCAGTTAAGGCAGAACCACTGGAAATGGATGGGAGTTTGCTTGACCTAATGAGCGCATGAAACACCAACATGTGGATCTCTCCCAAGCTGCCCAGGGTTTATCATCCTACTCCTTCCATCCATCCTCACTTTTTTGAGGTGACTCCTTGTCACTTTAAAGTCCTAGCTCCCAAACCTTACTTGTTGGTAGAACACTTGAAAATTACATAGTGTTCTTTGTAATCTTCATATATTTAATTCTCTCAAATGGCAGCTTTATAGAGGAATTATATTTTAATTTTTCATTTATATATTGGCTACATTTTTGTCATCCAAGAGACAAGCATGAAACTTGAAAATCTTTTGTTTTGGAAATTCTTAAGATTTGAGAAACTTAGGAGGACCATTCTGATAGCAGTCAAAAGCACTAGCCCAATTAGAGAAAAGGACACATTGGATCTGTCACTGTTGCTTTAGTAGAAATAGGACTGTCACTCCACAGCCCACTGCAGAATGGGAGCTTTTAGAAGCTTAAGCCTTTATGGGGTGGATTTTTCTGCCCTCTCAGAACACTGGAAGAGCTCAGTGCTGCCCTTGCATCTTCTTTAGATTCTGAGAGGGGAGGGTAGTGGAGGAACCCTCCACTGGCTCACAGATAGCATCCTGGGCTTTCCCAGAATGTCATGACATCAAGCCTAGGAAATGAATGTTTGATAGACACTGCTTGTGGGAAGAAGATATTACTGCTGTATTCTAGCCCCAATGTCCACCCATGCCTATTGTTTTCTCTTTCAGCTTCGGCTTCATTAACGCCAGATTTCTTATCTCCAGGAAGTTCAAATGTCTCTTCTCCCTTACCTTGTTTTGGATCCTCATTCCACTCTACAACTTCCTTTGTCATTAGTGACATCACCGAGGAGACTGAGGTTGAGGTCCCTGAGCTTCCATCAGTCCCCCTGCTTTGTTCTGCCAGCCCTGAATGTTGCAAACCAGAACACAAGGCTACCTGCAGCTCATCTGAAGAGGATGACTGTGTCTCTCTGTCCAAGGCCAGCAGCTTTGCAGATATGATGGGGATCTTGAAGGACTTTCACCGGATGAAACAGAGCCAAGATCTGTAAGTATGTGATAAGGAGCTCTGGTGACTTGTTTTACTATTTAAGTCACCTGTGGCCAATGATCTAGTAGAAAGAATTTACAAAGTAAAGTCCTCCGTAGTAGTTGTGTATTACTCCATTCACAGAGCTTGCTTGCTTAACACCTGGGATTCCCGTTTGAGGAAAGCAACATCTTATATTTGGTTGAGGCTGTCTAACTTTTTACAAGAAGGCTCATCTGATCCAAACTTCTGTTACCACTTCAGTCCTTATACTACTGGTGACAAGTATCCCCATGACCATGCCGCACCCTGCAAAATGAGGTTGCATAATAATTATTTTAGTATCTCAAACTGGTAGACTTTTTTTTTTTTTTTGATGGAAAATTTTATGGTTTCTGCTTTAAGGTACAGTGGTCCCTTATGCAAAACACTGAAAATTCAGGCATTTGAGACTGTAACCTTGGCTGTCCATCAGAATTGCTAAACTTTGTTATAAATACACTTTAAGCTTACTAAAGCAGAATCCCCAAGGTGTGGACCTTTATGTCTGGGGATTTTTTCTCCTTTCTTAATGAAAAAATGAGAAAGTAGCCCCATCAGCAAAGATTCAGAAATGTAACAGATTGATCTTATGTCTACCAGTAAGAATGTATGTAAGTTCACTAGAATTTAAGGCACCTATTTTCCAGCTATGTAGGACATCTTTTATGATGTATTAGGTAACTCAAACCCACCCCAATCTAGAGTTGGTTTTATTCCCATGGCTCCCCTGTGATGTGAACATTTTACTGTGAATTCTAGATCTCTTATAAAAACCTTAGGGAAAAAATCTTAACAGAGATAAGTAATCTGCCCAATAAAGAGTTCAAAGTAATGGTCATAAAAATGCTCACCAAACTGGGGAGAACAGATGCACAAAAAACTTCAACAAAAAGATGGAAAATACACTGAAGAAGTCACAGAGCTGATGAACACAGTAACTGAACTGAAAAATACACTAGAGGGGTTCAGGGCAAACTAGATGAAACAGAAGGGATAAGTGAACTCAAAGACAAGGCAGTAGAATTCCCCCAATCAGAGCACCAAGGAGAAAAAAGAATGAGGAAAAAACCCCATAAAGATAGCTTAAGGAACTTATAGGACAAGATCAAACGGACTATAATGTTCTCATTATAGGGCTCCCAGAAGAGAAAGAAAGGTACAGAAATCTAATTTGAAAATAGAATGGCTGAGGGGCAACCTGGGTGATTGAACCAGTTAAGCGTCTGCCTATGGCTCAGGTCACAATAGGACTGGGCCCTGTGTCAGGCTCCCTGCACAGCAGAGAGCCTGCTTCTCCCTCTGCCCTTCCCCCCACTGTGTGCACGCTCTGTCTCCCAATAAATAAAATATTTTAAGAGAAAAAAAGAGAATGGCTGAAAACGTCCCTAGTGTGGGGAAGGAATCCAGATCCCTTCCAACCAAAGTTATTGAGAATTAAAGAGTTTTCCAGACAAGCAAAAGCCAGGAGTTTATCACCACTAAATTAGTCTTACAAGAAATGTTAAAATGACCTCTTTAAGCTGAAAAGAGTGTTAGCCAGTAATAGGAACACCTATCAGAGAGTAAATCTCACTGGAAAGGTGAATATAATAAAAATAGTGGATTCATCACTTATTGTTATGGTTAAAAAGGCAAAACTAGTAAAAATAACTGATTACAATAATTACGGGATACACAAGATAGAAAGATGTAAAATGTGACATCAAAAACATGGTTGGGGTAAAAATAATGAGCTTTACAATGTGATGAAACAAGTTGGCAACAATTTTATCAACTTAAGCCTAAACTTAACTACAAAACAAAACACTTTAATAAATACACAAAAGAGTAAAAGGAATATAAGCATACCATTAGAGAATATTATCAAACCACAAAGGAAGAGAGCAAGGTAAGAAAGGAACAGAGAACTACAGAAATAGCCAGAAAACAATTAACAAAATGGCAATAAGTATATACTTATCCATAATTCTACTTTAAATGTAAATGGACTAAATACTCCAAAAGAGTGGCTAAATGAATTAAAAAACAAAACCTATATGCTGCCTACAAGAGACTCCCTTAGATGTAAGAACACAAACAATGCAAAGGGATAGAAAGAATATTCCATATAAATAGAAACCAAAAGTTGGGGTAGCTATACTTATATCAGAAAAAAGTTAACTTCAATTAACAATGATTATAACAAAAAAATGATTATAACAAGACAAAGAGCATTATATAATGATAAACGGGTCAATCCATCAAGAGCATGTAACATTTGTAAACACCTAGGAATATATAAAGCAAATATTAACAGACAAAGGGAGAAAAGCCATATAAGAGGTGACTTTAATACAGCACTTGTATCAATGGATCATCCAGATAGAAAAGGAAACACTGGCTTTAAATGACGTGTTAAATTGGGTAGATTTCTTCCAAAACATTTCTTCCAAACAGAACATTTCTTCCAAAACCAAGAGAATATACATTCTCAAGTGCACATGGAACTTTAACAGGATAGATCATATGGTAATCCACAAAATAAGTGTGAATAAATTTAAGAGGACTGAAAGATATCAGGCATCTTTTCTAACTACAATGATATGAAACTACAAATGGGTTCCACAAAACCAAAAAATTCACAAATATGTGGAGATTAAACAACATCTACTGAACAACCTGGGGAGGGCGATCAAAGCAGAAACCAAAGAAAGATAAATACCTTGACACAATCAAAATGGAAATATACCAAAATTTTTGAGATGCAAGAAAAGCAGTTCTAATAGGGAAGTTCATAGCAGTAAGTGCTGGTTTCAAGAAGCAAAATTCCCAAGTAACACAACTTTACACCTTAAGGAACTAGAAAAAGAGTAACTGAAACCCAAAGTTAGAAGGAAGGAAATAAAGATTCAAGCAGAAATAAAGACCGAAAAGCAATAAAAAGGATGAAAGAGATGAAAAGATAAAATTGACAAACCTCTAGCTAGAATCACCAAAAAAAGAGGACTCAAAAATAAAATAGATGACAATTAGTACCACATATCAAAGAGTAAGATACTATAAAATTTTTTTTAAAAAAATTATACACCAACAAATGGGACAACCTAAAAGAAATGGATAAATTCCTAGAAACAATCTACCAAGACTGAATCATAAGGAAATAGAAAATCTGAACAGACCAATTACTAGTAAGATTAAATCAGTAATCAAAAGTCTCCCAATAAACAAAAAGCCAGGCCCAGATATATGGCTTCATTGGGTGAATTCTACCCAACATTTGTTGAAAAAATGCCAGTGCTTCTCAAACACTTCCAAAAGAATACCATTATTCCTCAAACTCTTTGAAAAACAAAAAACAAAAAGAGGGGACTCTTTCAAAACTCATTTTACAAGGCCAGTATTATCCTTACACCAAAACCATACAAAGACACCAGAAGAAAATAAAATTATAGGCCAATATCCCTGATGAAAATAAATGCAAAAATCCTCAACAAAATATTAGCAAACTGAATTCACCAGTACTTAAAAGGATCATACACCATGATCAAGTGGGGTTTATTCAAGGAATGCGAGGATAGTCCAACATCTGCAAATCCATGAGATGCTACATTAATAAAGTATAAAAGTCCTATGTTCTTCTCAATAGATAAGATAATAGATACAGAAAAAGCATTCAGTATCCATTTGTGATAAAAACTTTCAACAAAGCAGGTAAAGGAGGAGCAGAGCATACCTCAACAAAGTAAAGGCCAGATATGACAAGCCCACAGCTAATATCACACTCAGTGGTAAAAGCTGAAAACTTTTCCTCTAAAATCAGGAACAAGAAAAAAATGCCCACTTGCCACTTAGTTAATATAATATTGGAAGTCCTAACCCAGCAATTAGCCAAAAAAAACAAAAAACAAAAAAAAAGAAAAAGAAAAGGCATCCAACAGGAAAGGAAGAAGTAAAACTGTCACATTTGCAGATTACATGTTATTATACAGAAAACTCAAGACTCAAAAAAAATTTAGAATAAATGAATTCAGTAATGCTGCAGGATGCAAAATTTTTTTAAGTAAAAATCTATTGTGTTTCTATATACTAATGACAGAGAAATCAACAATCCCATTTAAATTGCATCAAAAGAATAGAATACCTAGGATTAAATTCAAGGAAGTGAAAGTATACTAAAAACTATAAGACATCAAGGAATGAAACAAATATTCCATGTTCATGGATTATAAGAATAATTAAAATACCCATACTACCCAAAGGAATCCACAGATTCAATGCCATTGTATCAAAAGTCCAGTGGCATTCCTTACAGAACTAAAAGAACCTTAAAATTTGTATGGTATCCCAAAGACCACAAATAGCCAAAGCAATCCTGAGAAAGAAGAACAAAACTGAAGACATCACACTCGCTGGTTTCAAACTCTGTTACAAAACTATAATAATTAAAACTATGGTATTGGCATAAAAACAAATCAATGGAGCAAAACAGAGCCCAGAAATAAACCCACACATATATAGTTAGTTTATAATAAAGGACCCAGGAACATACAGTAGGGAAAAGACAGCCTCTTCCACAAATGATGCTGGGAAAACTGGACAGTCACATACAAATGAATGAAACTCAACCACTACCTTACACCATATGCAAAAATTAATTCAAAATGCATTGAAGAGGTGTACCTCCTGGGTGACTCAGTTGGTTAAGCGTCTGACTCTTGATTTCAGCTCAAGTCATGAACTCAGGGTTTTGAGATTAGGTATGGAACCTGCTTAAGATCTGAAAACAAAAACATTAACTTGAGAGGATATACACACCCCATATTCAACTGCAGCATTATTTGTAATAGCTAAGATATGGAAAGAACTAAGTGTCCAGTGGATGAATGGATAAAGAAACTGGTGTATATACAGAATGGAACATTATTCAGCCATAAAGACTGAAATCTTGCCACTTGCCTCTCCCCCCCACCTCTAAAAACAGGCAGAGTGGGGGGTGGCACCTGGGTGCCTCAGTGGATTAAGCATCCCAACACTTGATTTTGGCCCAGGTCATAATCTCAGGGTTATGAGATGAGCCCTGTGCTGAGCATGAAGCCTGCCTAAAGAATCTCTTTCCCTCTGTCCCTCCTCCATCTCTTAAAAAAAAAAAAAAAAAATCTTGCTATTTGAACAATATAATGTCTCAAGGGCATTATGCTAAGTGAAATAAACCAGAGAACGAAAACTGTAAGAACACTTATATGTGAATCTAAATTTAAAACAAAAAACCAAGTGTGTAGATACAAGGAACAGATTGGTGCTTGCCAGAGGCTGGGGGTGGGGATGGGAGAAATAGGTGAAGGATGTCAAAAGATTAAAAAAAAAATTTCCTTTTATTAAAAAAAAAAAAAAAGATTGTACCTATCGTTGACAATAATTATACACTTAGAAATTTGTTAAGAGGGTAAAACGTTGTGTTTTTTCTAATTAAAAACATCGCAGAATTCCCCTGAGCAAACAAACAGGGTTGTAGGAAATCCTCAACATGCCTTTTCTCCAGTAATAATAAAGGTCAGAATAGCCATGTCCGCAGTTACTTCCCTTGGTGACCTGGGGAAATGCTCAGAAAAGACAGCACACCAAAATGTGGGAGCAGAAGCTTAGCCACCAGAGGCCAGCTCTAACAGGTTGATAGTCTTTTCCTTTGCCCACATTTTATTGCCATTTCAGGAAATAGTAAAGCATTCTAGTTAAGAAACTAGCTAACTTGTTTTGGACTCTGGATTTGCTACTTAACTGGCTGAGTACCCTAGTGACTTTGGCAAATTATAGAACCCTTCTGTTTCAGTTTCCTCATCTGAAAAAGAGGTAGTAAGAGCACTGACTTTATAATTGTGAGAATTAAATGAGATAGTGTATTCAAAGACACAAAACACTACCAAAGACAGAGCAGGTATTTAATATTTTATTTTGTCTCTAGGAACAGGAGTTTATTGAAAGAGGAAGACCCTGCTGTCCTTATCTCTGAGGTCCTAAGGAGGAAGTTTGCTCTGAAGGAAGAAGATATTAGTAGAAAAGGAAACTGACAGAACTCAGCTCTGCAAATTCAGTCTCATGCTCCTGGAATTCCTTCAATAGCTGCCTTCCTCACCAGAGACCTGGCTGCCTCTCAGTTAGAAATCTTCTGCAACAGTCTTACTGAAAGCTGGAGCTTGGACTGAAAGAGAAGAGTTGGATCACGCTTCCTTTGCTTCAAACCTTAGCAAAAGCTAAGGCCTGTTTTGCACCAAGACTCTTGTTACAGGTAAATGTATAGTTGGAATGTCTCAGTCTAAATGGTGAGACAGAAGTTTGGTTTTTCCTTGCCTCTACGTGAAAATAGGTCCTAAATGAATGGCTTACTTCACTGCATTAGACCCCATAACTGGTCTCACGGACACTCTGTGCCCAGCTGTCACTCTCAGCAGCTTCCTTGTAGCAGAGCAGAGCTGAGGGGTAAGGGGCTATAAATGTATGTGTTGACAGGGGCAGGCAGAATCTTATGCTGCTCCATCATAAACTGACACCAGTGCCCAACAATCACCCTCTCTCCCTTCCCTCTCCCTAGATGTAGAGGTCGGACCTCTGGACCAGCTGACACTTGGGCTGCTGCTGGGAGGCCTGGGCTGTTTTTTTCTTAAATATATTTTGTAATACTGTACAACCAAATCTACTCTCCCAGGCCCTGGGGCCTCATGGGTTCCACTGATAGAAAACACTTTCTCTTCCATGGACTTGACTTTAAGCCCAGTAGGAAAGAGAAATGGGAAGGAGAAACAGCACCATCCTTCTTCCAGGCCCTTGACCGCCCCTTTTGCATTGGGCCAAGGTTTGTACCTACCACACCATGCATGACTCAGACGCCCTCAGGTCCCTTTCTCTACGGTATGTATCCTGTGTGTGTTTGGGTTGAAGCACTACCTGATATTAAATGAAGGATATGGAGAGATGCTGCATGTGCTGTTTGTCTGAGTTGTGACTACCTGGTATCTCTCATGAGTATAGGATTCTGTTAATTTTAAGGTATGAACTTTCATAAACAGGTTCCTGGCTTCTCCTCTTTCCTTATAAAGTCCTGCCTAATAATATAAAACTTCCATAGGGAGCCTCTTGTCCTCTTTTGTAGGGATTTTACCCTAAACTCTTAAGGAATTCCATCTTATAACCTACATACTTGCCCCACAGAGGCTGTTTAAGCCTCATAAGGTAGCACACCTCCAACATGGGAACCTGCCACTTGGTAGATAACGTCTTGAATAGAACACAGGTGTTGAGATGGGACCTATGGCAATGACAACATATAACTATTAAAAAGTTGCTTTTTCAGAAATAAAATGGTAATATTTTAAGTACCATCAGAGTCAGCTTTGTAAATAGCCATTTATTTGTGTTCATAGTTTTACAAAGGAGTTCTTCTTATACTTTATAGAAGAGTGGGATCATCACATCTAGATTGTTAGGCAGCTCAGGCTTTTTTTTAGGGAGATGTTTAAACATAGAGTATAAGACTTTAAAATGTAAAGTCCTCACAAAAATAAAGTAACCGTTTTTAAAAACCTACCATTGTAGCACCCTGGGTGGCTCAGTCAGTTAGACATCCAACTTGATCTCATGTCACGAGTTCAAGCCCTACATTGGGCTCCACATTGGGCATGGAGCCTACTTCAAAAACAAAAACCCCTACCATCATTCTACTTTCTACTTATTTCTCTATCCTACCTGTCCCCATACACCTGGCCCCAGGAGATTTTGCCTTATCATTCAAAAAGGTGTCCAGAATAACAGTTCCAAGGTTGAGTAGGTAACAGCCAGAGATTAAAACACATCCATAAGAAGCAACATTCCAGTCAGGCATCTGAAAGGGCAAAGAGTGGCTTAACCAACATAATTTCCCTCCAACTGTCTCTTTAGTGAAGGGATAAGTACCTCCCCTAGCTCCTCAGTGCTCATTACAACAGCTTTGTCCAAGTTTACCAGCAACCTCTTCCTCAGGGAGAGATACAATGCCAATCCATACTTTCTCAACAAGTGGCACCACCTGCTTTATTTACACAAAGAAAATGCTTAGTAATAACCTCATCCCTTGTCTCCCCCACACCCCAAAATTTCCCTATGGCTCTCTCATTTCTTTTAGAACCAAACTGTTTTAAAGACATTTAGATTTGGTGCCTGATAACTTGATTACCTTCAGAGTCCTGGGTAAAGAGCAAATCAGGCTGCAGATTTAACTGAGTGGGCCTCTCCTGGCACTGAGCCCAAGAGCTGTTAGGAAACTGCCCTAAGCCCCGATCCTGGTTGTTAGTTATATCTCGGAAAGGAGCTCTAGACTTGTGGGCAATGACCCGCTGCCCCTGAGAATCCTCAGTGAAAAGCTGACTCCAGGAGTCCTTGTCATTCTTTTCACTGTCCCAGGAAAACACAGGGATGGGATAAAGGCTTTGTTTCCCAGAATCTGTGTCTTCTCCATTCCAGGAATCCCTGTAGTTTTGAAAGAGGATGGGGGTTTGGGTGGTTTCTTTGGCAGACACCTTGTCTAATTTGGTCTTGTCCAAGGGCTGAAGGCCCTTGCCCCCAGGTGGTTGAACATGTCTCTGCACATCCTGATAGTTCTTTTTATTAGATCCATGAAGCCATTCCCTTTTCCAGGAAGGGTCTTTCTCTCCTTCCTTTTGGTCCAGCAAGTGAGAATGTTCCAAGTTCTGAGTGAGGGAACAAGAGAATGAGGCTTTATTCTTCCCAGCACAGACTAAGGTATCAGGCTGGGGCAAAGACAGCGCAGTCAAAAATGCAGTTCCCATTCTGTGGTGGCCAGAAGCCTGGAGGGACTGGGAGGAAAGTTCAGCTTCCTGGGTATCTGCAGGGGTTGAAGTGGCTAATGGGGGTGCCATGCAATCATCCTCCAAGCCCTGGATCAGATGATCTAGATGGGTTGCATCTTTCTTAGATTCTTTGTTGGTCTGACTCTCTGTATGAGATGAAACTCTCCTCTGGTCACCACCATTTGTCTTTCCTAGTAAGACAGATGTGAATAATTATTCTGCAGGAAATCTCTACCCTAAGCAGGATTTAGCTGGCTTTTTCTGAAATTAGTATCAGCTACTGTCACTACCTAGCCCAGGGGCCTTAGACTTGTCACACACCTTTGTAGCTGATCTCTTTTTTTTTTTTTTAATATTTTATTTATTTGAGAGAGAAAAGAGAGAGCATGGTGGGGGGGCGGGGTGGAGAACCAGACTCCCCCACTGGGCAGGGAGCCCCATGTGGGGCTCAATCCCAGGACCCAGAGATCATGACCTGAGCTGAAGGCAAACCAGATGCTTAACTGACTGAGCCACCCAGACATCCCATGATCTTCCTGCTTTCACTTTCTACTTTCTCCAGAATGATCCTTCTAAAACACAGACCTTGTACTGCGCTACTCAAATATACGGATGCTTCTAATGACCTAATAAAGTCAAACGTGGTAGGTATACTCAAACCACAGCCTACTTTTCTCAGCTGTGTTTTCATTTATGGAGTTTAACAGGGCACATCAGTTTTGTGTTTTGTTTTTTATTTAATATGGTTTCTGTTAAATAGTGGTCCTGGCCCAATATAGATTCCTGGATATTATCCTTTTTGAGAAGTATGCACAATACAATTTTTGTAAGGTTACTAAGATCACATTAACCAGCCAACTCTAAAAAACCCTCTATTGACAGTCCAAAGAACATTAGATCCTCCACTCTGCAAACATTGCCTGGGGAAGGGAATAAAGACAATTAGATGCTAAGTCAACTAGCTAGAAAGACAATATTAAGAAACAACTACTAGTGTCCAACCTGTCGACTTTATCAGGCATGGAATGGATCCTCTTCTACCTTAAGGATGAATAACGTGGACTTCCCACGTCCCCCTCAAATTATACCAAGATCTAATTACAAAGCTGAATGATTTCCTTTTTCCCTCTCCAACAAGAATTATCCTACAAAAACTGTTTTGTGAAAGATTTCTCAACTTTGCCTAAGAATTCAATACATTATAGAATATACTAGAATTCTGAAATTACAAGGGGTGCTTGAGTGGCTTGGTCGGTTACACATCCAGCTCTTGATCTCAGGTCTTGATCTTGAGGTTGAGAATTCAAAGCCCCATATTGGGCTCCATGGTGGACATGGAGCCTATTAAAAAAAAAAAAACAATAACAATCAAAAGTGTCCCTGCAAAAAATCTGCCCTTGTTACTTAAAGCAAAAGGGTGCTTACTTTAAGTTTCTATTTGGGGCAGTGGGAGTAAATTTTGAAGATTTATGCAAAGCAATCCTGGGAATCGCATCAAGAGGTAGAGCTCTTCACTCAAAACCCTCCAACTGGCAGACACCCTAGTCTGTAAGCCCCAGCCTGCTCTGAGGCAGCTCATCCCCTGAAAAGGGACATGTAAGCAAAGAACTCCCAAAGGATGACGAGACACAAGCCAACTTTATGCCAACCTTTCTAAGAAAAAAAAAATCTTTGAACTCTAATTTGAGAAGCAATATAAAGAAATATGTTATCAAGTAATCCTATATAGACTGCTCATTATGGCCAATCCAAGACATTTATCTAACTACTAATGGCAGGTCAGCTCCCCTGTATCCTCTAACTCCCCAAGCATACTTTCTCCTCACTGCTCTGTCAGGGAATACAAATATTTAATATTAGACTGAGCACACAGAATTAGAAAATGTTGGTAAAAGCATGTATATATTGTTTTGCAGAAGAGGATGTTCTGTTGTTTGATATCCTCTTCTAAGAAGTTAGCTAAGTTTAACTGGTGTCGCACTTCTCATAAATTTTCCAGCATGGAAAAATGCACACACTCCCTTTTGCTCCCTGGATATTCCCAGGCGGGTCATCATACCTGGCTGCAAGGTGAAGAAGGAAGCAATGCTGGTCTGCCGAATGCCTGTGGGTGGAATTCTTTGACTTAAAGAAATCTTAGCCTTTTTCTCTCCAGAAAAGAGTTTTAGCATTTGGGTGCTTGGCTTCACTAAATGTGTCTGAGAAGGGGGAGAAAAAGAATAATAGAACCTGTTAATATCAAGACAACTGCCAAACAGAAGAGATTCAATATACCTGCGATCCTCATGGAACCACACTAGACCCTTTGGATTCCACTCCTATACTACTCTCTGGGTAGTTTTTGCTGTATATCATCATCTACCATTTCCTGCCACAATGATGATGTTTGTTTTTCTCAGGAAATCACATATTCCAACTATAGCACAATCTTTCTGCTTCCCCACAGAAATCAGTCACGCTGCCTAAAGAAACAAGATTTGTTGGAGTGATTCCAGGGATGATACTCTCTCTTACATTTAAAGAGAACTAATGATTCTACATCTGCATTTGACACATTTTTAGTGGTTTTCAAATAGTCACACATGGTTAAAAGCATGGCTCACACAGCTTGGGTTCCAATCAATCCCAATTCTGCCACTGCTACTTATTGTGTGACCCTCACAAGTTGCTTAATCTAGGTCTCATTCTCAGGTGTGAAACGGGGACAGTAAAGTATCTATCACATAGGGCTTTATGAGGATTTGGTGAGTTAATTCACATAAAAGGTTTATACAGTTCCTGAGGTTCAATACTAATTGGTTATTACTAGGAAGAAGAGCAGAGAAACAACAGTCTTATATACTCATAGCCCATTTATACTTTGTAGTATGAATTTGTACCAGAAAAGGTTTGGGAGTAAGTTTTGTCGACTATAAATATAACCTAATCTTTATTTAGTGTGATTTGTTTTTATTTCCACTTACTTGTTATGGAATGCCTGAGAAGTAACCCTGAGAACAGGGTAATTTATATTCAATTCAGTTTATGTGAGAGCCAAAGAAGAAATGAGATTTGCCAATATTCATGCTGCAAGTTGGAGATAGGTCTGAAACTTGAACTCAGATTATTAATTCTAGCCCAAAGTTGAC